AGCATTCTCTCTGCAAACTCCGATGGTATTTTTGCACCATTAATTTGATTTTTAAAAATACTTTCTGCTGCCTTTTCTTATAAATTAACTTCACATATCTATGTGATCACTCAGCTCATCAAGAGTGGGATAAATCACTTTATTCTCTCTTTTCCCACAGAGTCTTACCAGGCTTTTCCCTAAAAGCCAGAGATCAGCAAATGACTGACTGCAGGTTCCTATTTCCTCCTCCTCCCCAGGTCAGTGGGATGCCACCTACCAAAATCCAATTCCTCCAGGGAAAGTGACTACACTGAATGGAACAGGAACGCCAGAGTGTAGATCCATGAGAAGAATATCTGTTACACAACTTTTCCTACCCAGTTTTGCAAAACACCTGTTTCGAGCAATAATACATCACAAAAGGCCACCCGCAAGACCCTGGTGTGCATCTGACTCAGTACATAGTAGGGGCCTGGGTGGGGGCGGGGGCGATGAGACTGAGGTCCCAGGCCACTCCAAGTTCTCGCGGGAAGAGAGGCTACCAAATGGTAATCCGTTCTTCCACTGATCCTCCCCCAACCCCACCAGAACCACTAGACTTCCCAGTGACCCCATGAGCCGTCAGCCTTACCCTGAAGGATTCAGAATCCAGGTATGACCAAGTGTCCTTTTGGTTTAGAAAGAATGAGGCATTATTCAGTCTCTGGGCACAGGGTAATGGTGATAACACAATATGCCTCCATAGCCCAGCCCCTCACCACCATCCCACCACCCAATGAAGTTTACCACTCATCCTACCTTATCATTACCTTTGACCCAGTGAGTTGGGCACAACAGGTACTTTCCCCATCACTGCCCACCTCGCACAGGGAGCTGGAATGATTTGTCCAAGGTACCATGACTGGGACTTCTGACTCAATTCTTCAATTAGAGTGGACGCTGATGTCCACTACTCTTTCCATCAAAACAGCTTCCAAAGGCACTGTCATTCTTTTTTTTTAATTATTTTTTATTGTGAAATACACAATTTTTAGAATTAGTTTTAGTTGTACAACACAGTGCAATAGTTATACTTTTTATCCCTCGAGATGACAAACCCCCTTCCCCAATCTGCCGCCCCACTTCCCCCCCAATATCGTACATATCTATTACAATTCCCTTGACTCCACTCCCACACTATACTCCACGTCCCATGACTATATATATATACATATACATATATATATATATATTCACTTATAGTTGACATACAATATTATACAACATCAGCTTCAGGTGTACAGTGCAGTGATCAAGCCTCTACCCC